TCTGGAAGCAATACCCCTTGTATAACACTCTTTGATTTTGGTAGCTATGATTATGACAATTTTCATACACTGAATGATACTAAGAACAAATTATATACAAACTTTATGCACGGGCAACTGAGGATGACCTGTTAAATCCATTTAGGTGCACGTATAAAGACACCTCCAAAATTCTTAAGCATAAGCAAATCCACCCAAACATGCTAGGAGGAGTGTGAAGGAACAAGATTCAGGATGGGAGAGGTTCCAGGCGTAGAGAAAAACATGCAGCAATGGACAGGACTTTATTATATGGACCTTACAGTTATTATATGGACTTCATTGTTATTATGTGGTTTCATTGTATCCACACTACACAACGCACAGCCTGGGCATGCTCGGGCTTGCCACGAGTTTGCCTGCTCCCTGCTTCCCCGCTCCCCTCTCCCATAGGCTGCAGAAGCTGCAGAGAGGAGACAGCCACCATTGCCCTTTCCTTCCCCGGCTCCTCCCACGTTCCTCCCACTTTTGCCTCTGTCCGTATCCCGATTTGTTCCCCCGTTTGTCTGTCTCATGTTCCACCCCATAAAAAATCCCATGCACACCTCAATAAAGCATTCCATCTGCACCCTACCTTGTCTCTAGACCCATCCGTGCTGTGTCACGGCCACATCCCCCCTTCAGACTGGGCAGAGGAGGATGGTCCCAAAACCATCACAGTTAGAGGCTGATTATACTCAAGTGTCCTGAATGAGCCCTATTACAGAAGTGCAGTAATTATTTCATTTTGCTACATAAAGCCTAGTTGGAAATATTAGTTATCTCTAAAGAGATTTACATTATTCTAGAGTCTTGTGTGTTTATAAATCTGTGCTTACAACCAACCTTTTACAGATTTCTTCCGTAAACACATGAACTAGGACAAAACTAGCAGGTGAAAAAATTTATTCACCTACTCCACTAGCTGAGAAAAAATTCTATGGTTTGATTTTTCTCCAGTATTTATGACATAGTCGTTCAGATCTTAATCATTTTAAGGAGAATTTGCTAATTTGAACAATCACAATACTCGAAGGCTGCCATCATTATTCTAAATTTAGAGTATTATACTCTGGGATTCACATATTGTCTCCATCTGAAAATCAGTCCCTTTGTTTTAAATGTCAAAAATGCTGCAGCCTTATGTGTCCAGCTTATTTGTGTCAGCAAAAGCATCATAAAGTCAAGGGAGAGATGTGGAAGAAACAGACCGTGATTTATGTATCTTCCTGCCACTACTTTCATTAAGCATTGATACAATAATCCTTTGCTTCTCCCACGTTTCTTCTCCAAAGACAGCACTGGTCTGTCTGTGATGGCATAAGAAAGATGTATTTTTGAAAGAACGCTGTATCAAATACCTCCTGAAGGCCCTTTGGATAATAACTGCTGATACCTCCTCTTGTTTTCTCTTAAGAGTGGAAGAAACTGGCTTGTCAAAAATTTTAGATGGATTGGCAACCACAATTTTTTCCTCCATTAATAATTCAAGACTATCCAAATCTCCAAATTCTCCCAAGACCCTTTTAGTGAAAGCACGCAAGATATCCAAGTGGTGGATCTTATCTCCACTCACTAGAGGGAGGTCCATGGATATGAGCTGGATGTTATTGGGCTTTGGAATGCGCAAGGGTTCTGCCAGAGCATCTGCAAAGTCTGAAAGAGCAGAATAGTCAATAAACTGTGTTGCCAGAGGATCAAATTTTCCCCAGGTCTCATAAAACATATCAAAGTCATCCTCACAAAGAGGATCTGTGCTTTCTTCAGTGGCAACATTGAAGTTCTCTAAAATGACAGCTATGTACATATTTACAACAATGAGAAATGATATAATGACATAGCTTACAAAATATAAAATACCAAATGGTCTATTTGTGCAATTAATTTTATCTTTCTCTTTTAAAACTAAGTTGGGAGCACATGTACCAGATTCACTTAACAAAGGGGCCAGAAGTGTATCCCAGCCAGCTGATGTTGTAATTTGGATGAGACAGAGAATGCTTCCAGAAAAGGTTTGAAAGTTGAAAATGTTATCAATCCCACCTTCCCAGGGAAGACAGGCAAAGTTTGCCATGCCCACAATGGCATAAATAAATGTAATTAGGAAAAGCAAAAGGCCAACGTTGACCAGTGCAGGAAGAGACATCAGTAATGCAAAGAGAAGGGTTCGAATTCCTCTCGCTTTTCGAATCAATCTCAGGATTCGGCCAATTCGCACCAAACGAATAGTTCTCAAAAGTGTAGGAGAGATGAATTTTTGAAAGGCTTCAGAAACTCCAATACCTTTGAAGGAAGAGAAAAACCAAAGTGTTGTCAAGGCATATTAGTCAAAGTTATTTCTGCTTTGTTATATTCTGTGCTTTAGGTGTCAGAAGTAACACTGACCATATTACACCACTTTCCACACAAACATCATCAATACTGAAACTGCTTACAAGACAGCTTAGGAAAAGAAAGACAAATCGTAATACCTTTCAATATTAAAAAGATATCAATATTGTGCATAGTTTGGAAACTGCATCCTCCCAGATTTCTCTAATTCAGGGCTGGTGAAGTTACACATTCATTGCTCAAGTACTTAAAAATGCTTTTAGCTCCATTCAGCTCCTGTGCTGGAAGCTGTGGGGATTGCCTCCTAGCTGCTGTCTGCTGCTTCTTTACAGGCCTGATCACATGCTAAATGTGAGGCTTTGACTAATGCTTGGTACTTGAAGGAGAGCAGAGAAGACCAAGAGGATTCTAAAGAAAAACTGTCTTGGTATTTATCCCCCATTACACCCCGTTCTTTGACCCTACTAACAGAGTAAGGGTACAGCAGGAATGCAAATGATTGCTAACAGAGGGGTTAAGGAGTCATCATTTTCCTGGGTTGCACGGGACAGCAAAGGGTTACTGTGCTTAGGCACAAAAGAGAGGATTCAGAGCAGTTTTTCTTTCCTGTCCTTTATTCTGTGATATAACCTGAGCCTGAGCGGGAAGCACAGACCAAATAAACTGTACAAGAAACTAGAGCTATTTATGACCCTTTGTACAGGTAATGATCAGCATCTAGTCTTATTTGAAAAGCCAAAAAAATCCAAGCCAGTTTTAGTGAGACTTTTCACAGTCACAAATAGTGGTCCAGATTTAGAATGGTGCTGAGCAATTACATTTTCCTGAGCTTTCTAAATCAGCAATCAGGATCTGCCTCCTTTAAAGGAAGTCCTGGTGAAATAAATACATCTTTCTCATTTTTCAAGCAAGTGTCTTTTTAACATGAATTTGCTTTGTGAAAGTAAAACAACTTATTAAGATAATGTGGAAATGGAAAGCATAAAACCAGTCTTACAACAATTTATATACACTAATTTAGAGAAGATGTTAATGAATTAAATTCCTATTCTGTAAATTACTCAATAGAATGCATACATAAAGAAAAGTAAAAATTGAAAACTCTATTTACCTTTTAGTACTGTGAAAAAATATAAAGGAAAAGAAGGAAGGAATTTAGAAGGAATCACTGAGCATCTAGTCTTATTTGAAAAGTCAAAAAAACCCAAGCCAATTTTAATGAGACTTTTCACAGTCACAAATAGTGGTCCAGATTTAGAATGGTACTGAGAAATTATATTTTCCCGAGCTTTCTAAATCAGTAATCAGGATCTGCCTTCTTTAAAGTAGGTCCTGGTGAAATAAATACATCTTTCTCATTTTTCATGCAAGTGCATTTTTTACATGAATTTACTTTTACTGTGAAAACAACAGTTACCATAACAACATGTAAATCAAAAGCATAAAAACAGTCAGACAACAATTTAAGAGCAATAACTTAGTGAAGATGTTAATGAATTAGGTTCCTATACTATTAATTACTCAAAAAACACATATTATATGAAAAGTAAAAATTGAAAACTCCATTTACCTTTTAGCACTATGCAAAAATATAAACGAAAATACAGAAGGAATTTCAAAGGAATTCATTAGCATATAGTTGTAAAAAGTACAGTGGATCTGGATTTGTTTATCAAATATATCTAAGTGGTTACTTCATACTGAAATTTGGCTCAATATTGGTAAGACACATTACCTGATTTAGTGATTGGTACTTACTAACTATTGAAAGGACCACAACAATAAAATCAAATAAGTTCCAGCCGCTTTTGAAGTAATGCTGTCTTAAGGCCAGCACTTTTATGACACATTCCGCTGTAAATACAGCCACAAAAAAATAGTTGATTTTATTAAGAAGTTTCTTGGTGCCTTCCTGATTATTTTCTGCCATCATAACAATCATATTTAGGCAGATAAAAATCACAATGATGATGTCAAATGCTTTGTGCATTACGATATCAAACAGCAATCCCAGGAACACATTCTGTGGAGAGAAAAAGAACCGCATTCAAATATTAATCAGTAATTTGTGCTTAGAACAAGAATTTAGGGTAATATAATTTTAACAATAAGCTACTAGAAGCATTTTTAGGTGATTTCTTTAGATCTTCAAGAAAACTCACAGTACTTGGCTAAGTATATTCAGGTATCAAGCAAGCACATTGGCACTTATATATACATACATCAGGAAAACATCCAGAGTACATTGTGATTGCTCTTTTAATAGAAATACTTATTGAAGCAGATATTTTAGGATAAGCAATTCAAATTAAAATGTCATAAGCAAGAAAAACTATGAATAGTTACTATGAAAAGCCAGGCCTGGAATTAAGATTAAGAAACTAGAAGTAGTAAAGCATGTACTATTCTCTATTCATTCTCACCTTCAATAATCCAATCTCGTGGCAGAAGCAACATCATGCAACTTAAGTAACCAAGGTCATGGTATGGTTATCAAATACTAATTATGAACCTTTATAAACAGGTTGTACATTTGGATAGGTCATAAATAGGATATAAATTTCCTAATTAACACCCACAAAGAAAGACTCTTTTAAGAAAAAGAGAGTACAATGTAAATACTACATTGGATAAAGAAGATGATGGGCTCTAAGGCAAAGTTTATTTCCCTGTGCCTGGGCTACTGAGTTCAAATATTGTCACCATCGTTGTATCTTCTGCCATGTTCTACTTAAGATAATCTCACCAATGGTCTTGGGATGGGTTTTTGAGGTTTCTTGGATCCAAGTTTTTTTAGGGCATTATAGTACTTTTTCTGTTCCTCAGTCAAAAATAGATCCTTTCCACCTAAGTAAAGGGAAAGAATATTGTTGTTTAGCTGAAGTTTAAGCAGTTCCCTAAATAAATTCCAGCAACTTTCTGTAAAAAAGAGTAAGTTACAGCTGTCCTGAGTGGGACCTAAGAGGGCACAGAGACAAACCATGTCTTCACTATTTCTCCTTTCCCCCTTGATCTTTGAGAAGATGTACTGGAAAGAGCTGATCTGGGTTTGATCATGGAAGTTTAGTCTAGGCAGTGTTCCCAAGTCAGTTCCCTCAAGTGTGAGAGCCTTTCTGAAGTTTTACAAATCTATTTCATATTTTAAAAAATTACATACGATTTACCAAGAAGGGAAATACTTTCTATTTTTGGAAAAGGTAGAAACAGAAATGTATTGCTGGACTAGCAGGTAAATGGAGGATGATGAGACCCAGTTCTACAGGGGGTTCCTGACAATGAATTTCTTATTCCCATCTACACTCCCTGTATTACTTAGCAATCTCTTTGAACCCAGGATTCAGAAGCCAATCATCAATCCTAAAAGCACTGAGTGATCAGCATTTTGTACAACAAACACACAACAATGTTCAGTAGGGCATCTGCAATTTCAATCACTCTGGAAAGACCTCTGAAAATTCCATTTGACTTCACTATATGGAATCACACGAAAAATTCCTGAGAATAAGCAAAGAAATGAAAGAGAAAAAAATTACAGAGAAAAATTGACCAAAAAAAATGTCAATCACAGCATGTACTAAGAAAAAAGGATTACATCCCCATAAACTTCCAGTAAATGTTCTGGCTTATAAACTACTTGACTGCTGCTGTTTCTATCTCTTTGGATTACTGTAACTGGGACTTTGTTAGAAAAGGAAATTCTTAGAGTGAAGTTGGACTGTTGTTCCTCAACCTCCAAATATCCTTTCTCTGTTCAAATGCAGAGAGCAGAAGAATTTCTTGTGGGCTTTATTGCTCTCTCTCTCTACCCAGAGCAGCAATGCTCTGACACTTGGTGTATGAGTCGGGCTATGGAAATAAAAAAGGGTTCCTGTAGAGATTCTGTCTTCCAAATGTGAATCTTGAAATTGTAAACCTCCTGTTGGGGTCTGCTTTTTTTGAATGAGCAAGAGGTTTATTTGTTTTAAGTCGTCCAAGTGAAATAATTTACTCCAGTTTCCTTTCTATTCTGGATAATTTAACATCTAAATGAATCAGGACAGAACTCAACCTGGTTTTGGCCTCTCATTTCTGAAGCTACTCCCTCCTTCCTCCTTGTCCTCTACTTAGAACAAATTAAGGACTTGGCAGGAAAATAGAATTTACTGGTAAATTGCTAAAAGCCTTGAGGAAAAGGGGACTCCTGTTTTCAAAATGTGGCTTAAAGTGTTATTATTTTTAATTTATCCAGTTAAACAGTTATTTCAAAATGTTAGACATCTACATGTCAAACCAGCATTCACTTAAGCAAATCTGGATTACAGGAGACATTGAGTTAGCTCAAGTAGTACTTATCTTTTTCCTCTGTTGGTTAAAATTGCTGATAACCACTCCAACAAAAAGGTTCAACATGAAGAAAGATCCAAAAATAATGAAAACCACAAAGTATATGTACATGTGTAAGCTTGCTTCAAACTTTGGCTGTTCATTGATCTGTTAAAAAGCAGTCAAACCAGAAAAACAATATTGGTAAAAAGGAGATAATCACAGCTTTACCATTTCCAATTTATAATAACAGATCTTGTCATTGTCATGAGGGATAAATTATTTCCACGCATTTACATCTTTACCTGGATGTACAGGTAGAACCACTCTCTTGTTCTATCTTGCTACTGATTGTAAAGATAGTGACAAACAGGGCTATAGAGACAAATCCAGCTTTAGCAAATTTTTAAGTCATAAAGAACCAGTTCCAATCAGAAGGGATCCTGTGAATACCCTGATTAAAAACAACAGCTCAGACTAAACACAATGGTGACCAGCCATCCTCTGGAATGCTGTCCCAGACAAGAGGCAATTCTAAAGCCCCAGCTCACTAAGATCAGCCCTACAAGGAACAATCACGTTAATCAGCAACTATTTCACTGCAGTCAAGAGCACAGAGACTGAAGGAGTGAGAAAAAGGTAAATTCAGTTAAACATAGAGAAGTTAAAACACACTGTCCTGGTAAGAGAGTGAGGAACAGCACATGCAAAGGGGGAAGAAATACTGAGGATGTCAAACATAGGGAAGAAAAACTCCTGAAATAACTGCTCTAGCTGCATGCTGTTTCAATGCTCCTGTACATGTCTAAAAAGGAAGAAAATTTGCACAGTCCCTCCAAGAGCTTCTGTATTCTGTTCCCAAAAGAGACTTGCACAAAGCTTGCATCTACTTCCCCTCTACATTCCTGACATAGCAAGCTTTTTGTGGTGTCACTCTACTTTGACCAGTTTCTTTTATCTAAGTTCTAGATTTTTGGTACTCCAAGGATTATTGTTTCACTGTGTAGTTTGATGCCTTCAACCACTTGTATTTTTGATTTGATATTGCAAAAAAGATGAAAAATAATTATATGGATGGAAAAGGGAAGAAGAAAAGGGAAAAGAACTAAATTGTCATTTTAGTGACATACCTGACGTGAATCCACTGCTGCATACATAATATCCATCCAACCTTTAAAAGTTGCCTGAAAAAAATGCATTTTTAAGCTTGTTATAATTTATATATATATATATATAGTTAATATATATAGCTAATATAAAAGTGGTAATAGTTGTGGAAAATGAGCAGTGTCCTATAAAAAATGTGTATCACTTCCAAAGATCTGCTGGGAAGTATGATTCACTGGAGTTTAGTTAAAAGAAAAAATACTTCTTGAAAACTAAACAAAAACAAATAAACAAACAAACAAAAATATTTCCTAAAACAAAAAAAATCATGATTCATGCGAAAAGTGTCTTAATGTTATTTCTTCTTAAAATAAATTTTTTTTGTGAAAAATTGCAGTAAAATTTTCAGCTCAACTTGCAAATATAATGTAAAAGGATAAAAACAATTTCTGAGAAAACAGCAAACAATTCCTTCCTGCAATTTTTAGCAACTCTGCAGAATCATAGAATACTTTGGAGGATCCAGGGCATAGAACTTCAGCTAAAAAAGATACAGCGATAACAGCCAACTTAAAAATTGCCTTTCTCTCCTTTGTTGTCATGTTAGGGAGCTCAATAAATTAGTATCCCAATCCTTCATGACTTCTACAGCAAAAGAAAATATAAATAAACTGTGCCCTGATTTTCTTTCTCATCCACTCTGAATGAGAGAAAATAAGAATATTTTTAATTCAGTAACTTGAAGACTATTTCAGGTTTACTGTGTTAATAAGATTAAAACAACATTGAAAAGCCATAAACCAGAGTTTTGATTTTAACACAAGGTTGCATATGCTCAAGTGTTCTTTAGGAGGAACTGAGCAGGTCACCAACAAGGAAACTATATATGGAAGGTAAAAAATATCCCAAATTTCACTGGGATAAACAGAAGCACAGGGGTGTCCCATGGTTGGGCTGCTCAACCCATTTCCTTGAAGAAAAAAACCTGAGAATGTTTTTATAGAACTCACCACTTGGAGCAGAGCCAAGTATCCCATCCCAACATCATCAAAGTTTACAGGAGAATTTGTCCATTTTCCACCATGAAACTCACAATCAGTTTTGTTATTAATGAGACTGATATTTCCTTCCTGGAGTATGCACTTTGAAAATCTTTTCCCAAGCCATTTTACTCCTAAAATGTTAAATAGGAGCCAAAAGACAACACAGACGAGCAAAACATTGAAGATTGAGGGGATAGCTCCGAGGAGTGCATTGACAACAACCTGAACAAAATGAATGAAAATAATAGTGAATTTTATGTTGTCATTTTCAAAAACATCTTCAAATGCAGCCATTACAAAAAATTCACACCGACCCCCAATATCTTTACCTTTATCCCTTCAAATCTTGACAAAGCTCGTAGAGGCCTCAATGCTTTAAGAGTCCTGAGAGATTTCAGGCCACTTCCAGAGGAACAACGTGCCTTGCCTTCTGTACCAGGATTTAGTCCCCAGGAAACAAATGACAACTGTGTTCACAGAATTAGAATTGCAATTACTAAATGGTAAACAACTTTTCCCTTGTTTGTGTTAGCAAACAATCATTACCTGAATGGTACAATATCTTTGACCATTAAGTCAAATTAAGAAAATACACATTAAATTCAAAGTTATTGTAATTTTACTTCATTCTTTTCTAATATATATATGTAAAAAGATTTCTTCATTCTAATTTGAAATGGGGGGGCAGTTGTTTTTTGGTTTTGTTCTTTTTTTTAACTGTTCATATATTTTCATGATGTGGGCGTTTGACCCCAAAAATCCAGTTTCCAAGCTCCCCCCACATTTTAACTCAACACCAAAGAGAAGTTTTCAGACATGCACACCTCGGTATGGGGGAAGGGAATTATATACAATTTATTACTATACACAATAAATACTACAGAAAATAAAAAGCAATTATATATACAACATTAACAGAATCTCTACCACCCCTTGGACCCTCCCACATCAGTTCAGGAGAAGCTTGCAGGGTGATAGTTAAAAGTCTCTCTCTCATTGGGATATCAGAGAAGGGGTCTTGCACCCTCACCAGCACTCAGCTCCTGCTGAGGTCTCCTCCTGGGCTGCAAGGGAAACACTTGCTTCACCAGGTCTTCATCATGAAAAGGTCCAGGGAGTCAGCTTTTGAGTCCTTTCTCCCCAGAGAGTAAGATGTTCCATTCTCACTCTCCAGGTTGCAGGTTTCTGGGTCTTGCTCAGTCTTTTACCCCAAATAGTTTTCACCAAAAGTCCTTACCCAGAAAAACCCTTAACTGCTGCAGCTTTCAATTTTTGGCTGCCCTCACCCAAACCTCGCTAGAGCCTCCCCCGAGGCTCCTTGGCCCATCTCCAATTCCTTCAGCCTGGAGTTCTTTCAGCTTCTGCACCCATCACAGCTGCTTTCTCTGGGCTCTGGACCACCTTCTTGGCCTGTCTCTTAGCTCGGCTCCAGTACTGAGCCTTAAGTCCATGCCACTGCCTCCCTGGGCAGTGGGGTAAGAAAAAGAGCCCCCTAGCCTTGGCCACGGGTACTCAGTCCAGTTATAAACTGTTCCAAGCTTCCCTCAGCCTAGCCAGGAGAGGGGGAAAGAGGGCCAGGCCCCCTGCATAGGGGGCTGGAGACCTCCCTCCTCTCACCTCATGGTTGCAAGTCTCTCCCTCACACACTCCTACACACTGACTCCAGCCCTGGCCAAGCCAGGGCCGTGGGGGCCCAGGGGCCCCCTGGTTTTGGGGGCCCCTGGCCACCCCTGGGCTTCTCTCTTTCTCAGACACTCTCACACTCTGCCAACAACTCCCGGCTGTTGTGATATCTAATTTCACAGGAGCGAAAAAAGACCTGCGCTTGGTCCCTCAGGGGAAACTCTCCTAGGACCAACCACTTCTAGCCCCCCGAGGTGGGGAGGGGCACTTAACCCATGACACGTGACTTTCCACTGTTTTGAAGAGCACTGATATTAAGATTAGAAAACTGTCGTACATATTCGTTATAAATAGCCATAACATTAGACCTTTATTTTAGTTTTGTTTCTGATCACTAATTGAACTCCTTCTCTCCACTTGAAAAGGTTTTTAGAGCCATCATGGTCCTCAGTGATGGTGATACCAAATAGAATTTTCTTAAGCAACTTCTAGTTATTGCTGAAAATTTCAATTTAAATTTGTCCTAAAGTCTGTTTGGGTTGCAGATTTTTCACCTTTTGGAAACTGTCCATCACACTTGCAGTTATTCATAATCAGAAGTTACATGTAGTTATCCAGATAGAAAATGTCAAAAATCAAAGTGTATGACAAGCTGAATATAATACTTACACATACAACGACAAAATCAAGCAAACACCAGGAATTTGTGAAGTAACTGCGCAATCCATAAGCTACCCATTTCAGAAGCATCTCCATCAAAAAGATGTAGGTAAATACTTTGTCAGCATAATCTAGGATCATTTTCACTGTTTTTCTATTCTGCAGGTGAATATCTTCAAATGCCTGGAATTTCAGAATGCAGTTTTAAAACAGGTCAGTAGTTGCATGGAAAATTACTGTTAAATTGCACAAGAATACACAGTTTGTCTTATTACAACCATTTCATGTTAAATTATGGGCAACCACCACTTAGTTTTATACCTAGAAGTAAAAAATGAATTGTAAAATAAGTACAATCTCATTTTCAGGTTGTTGAAAAATCAAATATTTTCAGGTTTTTATGTTTGACACTCTAAAACATGTCTGAGGATGGGCAACTGTGGCTACGACATTCTGGCTTCCCAAGGTTGTTGATAATTTTGAAGGTGTTGGTCTAAATTCTTCACAATAAAGCCTGACTTAAACACATTAATCACTGTCTTTCAGACTCTGACCTTCCAAATGAGTCATCTTTAGTCAGCCTGCAGAGTTGTAATACACACATGGAAAAGAATGACAAACTCCTTAGCTGGAACTGTTCATTCCTGGAGTTACAGGTTTTTTCACCTAAACCTTGACCTTGAGGTTTTAGGAAAATGCTTTATTGATCGCTGCTGTTCACATCAGTGTTTGCTTGTGTTTAATGCATTTGCTGCCTGACTAATTAATTTTGAGTTTTTGGTATTGCCAATCTACTCCCAATTCCTTTTACACCTTGCATTATTTCCTCACCAAGCCTCCACTTCTCCCCTACCCACTTCATTGAGGTATTAACAGCAGACCTGATTTGCTCCCCTGCACTTAAGACATGCCTAAAAACCCATCTAAAAGGCCACGGAAAAGGTGGAACAGGAGCATAGACCACTGAAAAAACAAGGAGCAGAGATGCTCCTAGGTATAATCCAATAAAACTTATGCACTCCTGTTCTGCAGTGTTAGAAAACAGTGATTCTGCTTCTGGATCTAAAGGGGTCTTCCAGTTGTGCTACAATTAGGAGAAATGCCTCCAGAGCAGAGCTGTCCCTGTGCCCATGGGACTGTTCATTTGAGTGTGGGTAAATGAGAACAACTGGCATTCATGTGCATAAACCTATTTGCCATTTCTGACCTTTTTTCTTGAGTAAGTTTGATCATGTGTCCTCTTATTGCCTGCTAAACCTTGGCTACCTTGATCTCCATCTACCAGTCAAACCACCTGCTCATTAGCAGTGATGTATTTTCCTTATTGACAACAATCAATTCAAAATTAGAGAAATTAAATGCAATTTACCAGTGCTGCACTGCTCAATACTATCACAAAAACCATAAAATATTCAAACCCGCTATGGTTAACAATTCTGTAGCAGGTTTTCCTGAAGTTCCACCAACTTCTGCCTGGAAGCTTAGTGATATCCACTACACAACATGGGACACATTTACCACAATCTGAAAAGAGAAAGAACAGTATATTGGTCTATGGAAAATGCTGAGATATGGAATCAAAACAGTATAAGACATCTTAAAGAGAGCTTCTACAGATTAGAGAAAGAATGTGCTGTTTTACCTATGGGGTAATGCTGTGATTGAAATGATCTTAAGCTAAAGAAAAGAAAAAACTTGTATGCAAAATAATCTCTTTTAATAGAGCAACTCATATATGGGAAAAAGAGAGTTGGTTTTGTGCCCTTCTTCAGAAAGGCTCGTGGGCACAAGAAAAAAAGACTTTATTCGATCTAAAAAATGTTTATTTTCTGCATTTCTCCTTTTTGTTTTGAAAAGAGATAGTATGTTACTAGTAGGTTAGTCAATTAATATTTTTACTGATTATTACACTGTTTTGCATTGCAGAGACATTACAACTCCCTGTTCACTGCTTTGCACCAGAAACACTCTCCCTGAATCTGTAAAGGCAGCAGGATTGAAGCATGAGAGTCAATGGAGTCTAAGGAGATGTTCAGATAATCAAAGGCAGATGTCAACACTGGGATGAGCAGGAAAACAGATTCTGCTAATTTGGACATGTTCCAAGTGGATATTTTTTAACACTGGTTCATTTGGTGCTAGCACAATACAGAAAAGATTCCTACTTTCTCCAAAACAGTCCTTAGGCAGGTGTGAGTTTTTAGTCTGGGAAAACATCTCCAGACCAACAGCTGGATCCACACTGTTGGCTTCAGAAAAGCTGTGAGCAGCACCACATTTCTGCATGGGAGAAGGAGAAAGAGGAGAATTTATTTGCTTTTCATTAATAAGATTAAAAAACCAAAAATAAATGAAATTTATCATCCCCCTGCCCTCCTCCCCAAAAGAATTCTGCAGTCTATAAATTACCTTATTGTTGCTGAACTACAAAAATTAATTACAAATAATAGGACAGAAAAAGCCAATCCCTACTCTTTGTTTCCATGCTTTTAATTTAATAAGTTCTTTGTTTTCTTCTTGTCCTCTAAACAGGACATGCAGGAAAAAAAAAGACTATTCTATGCTACAGCTTTGGAGAAAACTCTGACTTCAGGTGTAGTAGATGTCTGTTGAATGTCCCTGTTCGGGCGCCATTTGTGGTACTTGTTTTCGCACAAACAAACTACACCACGTGGGGCTTGAATTAGCTTTGTTACAAAAGAACAACAGATTAAATACAATGTTGAAATTGTGACACGTGATCTCTCAATCAATCACACCAAGGTACTCCACTGCACATGTCAGATAGAATACTTGGAACTACAAGGTCCAGAATGCTTTGCAGTACATTTCCTCTAATATGAATTCCTTCATCCAGGCCAATCAAATTCTCTTTTCATTTTCAGAGATACAAACCATGTCTCAAAAGGCTTGAAGATGGTAAGGTCTAGCAGGATAGAAATGTATGTATGGACTACACACCTCAAAGAATTGTAATTACTGGTAGGTAACCTATACACTTCTAAAACTAAAAATGATAAGGAAAGCAAGTATAAGGACAAAAGAATAAAGAAATCTATCAGCCCTAATGTGTAAATGCCCTGTATGGCATGGAAAGGGAAGGCACGAGGATAGGGATAGCCAGAAGAAGGGAGAATTTCCTCTGTCGACAGCCATGATGCTCTACACTTGTCTAAGGTTCTAG